CATGGAAGTTTACAGCCCTCCTCGACTGGGCAAGAGGGCGAGCAGGTTGGGACTTCGACCTGGCGCTTCGCTAGACTTGGTCACCGGTTGGGACTTCAATCGCGCGGACCACCGACAGGCGTCTCTGGACCTCATCAGACGATTGAGACCAGCCTTGGTAGTCCTGAGCCCACCATGTACGGTGTTCAGTCAGCTACGAGCCCTCACGAACTACAAGCGCAATCCGAGAGATGTTCGGCGAGAAGAAGCAGAAGGACGAGCCCATGTGGAACATGCAGTCCGTATCGCATGGATTCAGATCTCAGGTGGAAGAGGCTTCTTGTTTGAGCACCCCTTGCGGGCGAAGTCATGGACCACGACTTCCCTCGAGGAACTGAAGGAGTACCCGGAGGTCAAGGCGGTGACCCTCGACATGTGCCGTTTTGGACTTCAGACTCCCGACTCCTCGAGAACAAGGATGATGCCAGCCAAGAAGCCGACCCTCATCATCACGAACATCCCGGAGATAGCCAGTGCCCTGAATCCGAGATGTCAGGGGCATCATGAAGAACATCAACTCTTGGTGGGAGATCGACGAGCCAACAATGCAGCAGTGTACCCACAACCTTTCGTGGACGAGATCCTCAAGGCGCTGAGGAAGCACATTAGGGCTTCCCACTTTCCAGTGGTCGAGCTCAAGGATCGCTGGGAAGTTCGACACAACCAGCTCATTTGCCGACATTTCCAACCTCGGCAACAGCTTTGCACTCTTGAAGAGTGCGAGGAATTTGACTTCCCCGTGGAGAAGTTCCAGAACTGGGAAACGGACTACGACCAAGACCTACGAGGATGGAAGCACCAAACAGTCAGTGGATGACTGGCGCTTTCACACGAGCACTACGACGAGTTCCGCCGCCCAACGGTGGACAGGGACTACGGCTTTCGATCTCATCATTGAGGTGATGCTGCCCGCCGATTACCAGAATCGGGCAACATGGATTTCAGCAGCCGCTGCACACCCCATACAGGAGTATGTGACGGCGGAAGGCGCTTTTCAGTCTGAGTGGTGTGCCATATATCCCACTCGGAAGCTTTTTGACAGAGCGGTGCCGTCGGCTCATTCAGACGGCAGAGCTAGACGCATCCCAAAAGAAGAAGGCCATGAACGCGGAGATGAACAGCGAGTAGATCAGGAACTACGCTCGCGAGTTCTACCAGAGGAACTCGGACGAGGAGACCAAGAAGGAGACGATCAACTACATCCAGAGTTGAGGCGTGAACTGTATCGAGTTCACAGGAATCTGGGTCATCCAGACCTATCCACATTCGTGCGTGGACTACGTCACGCAGGTGCGAAACAGGAGATCCTGGCCTGGGTGAAGAAGTATTTCAAGTGCCCGTTGTGCGAAAGACGGAAGAAGCCTGGCTCACAACGGCCCGGTCATTTGGCGAGAGCCATGGGTTTCAACGAGTGCATCGGCATCGACCTTTTCTTCATCAAGGATCGGGTCTTCTTGAACGTGGTTTGCCTCGGCACGAGTCTGCAGATCGTGGAGATGATCAACGACAAGACGTCGGAGCAAGTCACCGCGGCCCTGCTGAGAACGTGGTTCGCTCACTATGGGGCTCCGAGAATGCTGATATGTGATCAAGGTGGTGAGTTCGTCGGAAGCAAGTTTGCCGACACCCTCACTGACCTGGGTGTCATCGTTCACTACACGGACGTGGCAAGTCCTTGGCAAAATGGGCGTGTGGAACGCTTTGGTGGCTCATTCAAGAGCACGCTGGAAACGGTGATTCACGAGCTGACCATACAGACCGAGGAGGAGCTGCAAATAGCGGTAGCATCCACGCAGGTGGCGAGGAATCGTTACTACGATCGGTCAGGGTTCAGCCCATATCAACGGGTGTTTGGCTACAGCCCCAGACTTCCAGCAGCACTGCTCTCAGACGACTACCTGGACCGCGAGTTGCACCTGGACCAAGAAGACACCATGGCGAGAGCTCGGGAGATACGAGATGCGGCAGCCAAGGCATGGATGAGGTCCCAGGACAACAACGCTGTACGACGAGCAGACAAAGCCAACACGCGCACGACAGACCTCAAGGACTTCAAGCCCAATGACACAGTCTACGTGTGGCGGGAGAACAACAACTTTCGAGGTTGGTCTGGACCTGGAGTTGTGGTGGCGATCAGCGAGAACAACCGTTCGCTGTGGGTGTCTCTTCGAGGATACCTTCTCAAAGTGTCCAAGGAGCACCTCAGGCATGCAACATCAGAGGAGAGCCTCGGCGTGGAGCTGATCAAGGTTCTCAGTGCCGAGATGTTGGAGGGCCTGGAGTCTGGGAACATCAGACACTATCGCGACCTGGAGGAGGAAGCCACAGCATTCGCCAGGGAACGAGATCAACAAGAAGAAGTTCAGGTACAAGTACGCCCACGGGGACAAAGGTTGCCTCCGGTGAGAGAAGAAGTCGATGAGGACATCGCGGACCTCTTCGGCGGCAACGATGGTGGAAACGACGATCAGCAAAGCAACATGGAGGTGGATCAGCCTCAAGCTCAACCAGCACAGCCTCATGCACAATTACAACCTCAAGAATTACCAGCATTGGAAGCAGAGAGCACGGCAGCACCCTCGGAATCTTCCTCTACGGCAATCAACGATGCTAGCCGGCTGTCCAGCCGCCGAGTATCTGTCCAAGTAGACGAAGGACGAGGTGGCGAGATGTCTTTCGGACCAGTACGCCAAAGTTCCGAGAGGCCCATGCCGTACCCGTTTTCCAATGTGGAGAGCCAACCATGGCCTACAGCAAGATCCAACACGACCTTCTTCGAGGTCTACGACCAGGAAACGGAGGCTTCAAGCTGGAAGACTCGGTATGTCTCTTCAGCAACAAGGACAAGCGCTTCTACCTGACCAAAGCGAAGGAATCGCCTGGGCAGGTGGAGTTCTCGAAGCTGCAGGGCAACGAGGAACAGGTCTTCCGGCAGGCCAGAGCCAAGGAGTTCAAGTCACTGGTCGACAGCGGTGCCATTACCGTGCTGTCGGTCGAGGAAAGCATTGCATTCACACAGGCCCATCCTGAACACGTGCTCACGTCCAGGTTCGTGGACAGATGGAAGCCGACCGAGGACTTCGCAGTTTTGCCCGAGGACTTCGACGCTGCAGATGCGGGTTCGGGACAAACGACTTCGGTGGCTCCCAAGTCTCGATGGTGCGTGGTGGGTTGGAAAGACCCTATGGTGCATCAGATCGAACGCTCAGCACCCACCCCGATGACGTCAAGCATGTATTTTTTCATGGCGCTGACTGCAGGACGACAGTGGAGCGCGTTTGTCAAGGATGCCAAAACGGCATTTCTGCAATCCAAACCAACAACGAGAAAACAGAAACTCGCAGTCAAGCAGCCCTCCGACGAACCGCTGCCGGGCTTGGATCCGAGACAGATGCTGTTGTTAAATACAGAAGTCTACGGGTTGGTTTCAGGTCCTGCATGGTGGAGGAGGACGTTTCTGGAGGTGTTGGTCAAGGAGTTGGGCTACAGGGTGAACGCCTATGACAGGTGCGTTCTTACGCTGGACAATGAGTCGGGCATCCCTGGGCACCCAACAGAAGGAATCATCGTGGTGGAGGTGGATGACATTTTGGAGTCCGGCAATGAGCGTCATCGGAACAAGATGGCCTGGTTGGAGAAGAAGTTGCGGTTCGGCAAAATCATCAACCTTCGAGAACACCCAGAAGGCACAGGCTATGCTGGACGAAGGATCATGCAAGGTCCGGATGGTTCGTTTCAGTACACCATGGCGGACTACATCAAGAATAGGCTGAAGTATGTCCGGGTTGAGCGCAAATACCTGAAGAAGGACGCATCAACCACAAGCTTGAAGGAGGACGAGATCAACCAGTTGCGCGGAGTGGTGGCAGCCATCAATTGGATAGCACGTGAGGGACGTCCTGACGTCTCGGCAGCAGCAAGCATCCTCTCCGGTTGCTTCGAGAAGCCGCTGATGCAGCACGTCTTGGAGACAAATCAGGTGGTGGACCACTTGAAGAACCACCACGTCGTGCTGAAGGTGCACCACATCCCGGAGGAACAGGTTCGCCACTTGGTGATCTCGGACGCCTCCTATGACCCAACAGGCAAGGTCAAGCCACAGCATGGGTGGATTCAGGCAATTACAACGCCGCAGCTGAATCGTGGAGAGGTGGCCCCGGTAGGCTTGATGAGCTGGAAATCGAGGCGACTTCGCCGAAAGGCAGGTAACACGCTTCTTTGCGAATCCATAGCGCTTTCAACGGCATTGGGGGCGATGGAAAAGCAGGTTGCGGTGTGGCGAAGCTTCTGCAAATCTAAGTATGACCCTCGGGAGACAGCGGTGGAGGTGTCAGAGGAGGTGCAGATGGGGCTTCGCGGACCAGGCACGGTCATAGCATCGGAAAGCGTGACCTTCACAGATCCGCTTACTGTTGCTGTGGCAGATGCCAAAAGCTTGTATGATGCTTCAGCTTCGGAACACGCGCAAGGAGATGATGATCGCTCTGCACTGGAGATCGGGATCATCCAGGAGAGCATAGCAAAACTCTCAGGACGGATGAGATGGGTCCCACACAATTTCAATCCTGCGGATGCTCTTACGAAACTCAAGGCTCACATGGAGCCGATGATGAAGTTGCTGAAAAGCAATTGTTTCGTGATTGAGGAGGAGGCCGCAGTGTTGAAGCGGCAGACAGGGCGAAAATCGCCTTAAGCAGCGGGTGTAAAGAATTTTTGGGGACTGTGCGAGTCAAGCCAGAACCCTTGAGACTCTTGGATGTGTATATGTTCACCCGCTGCCGTAACAGGCCTTGAGCTATCATGGATGCGTAGCAAAACAAGATGCTAACGCGGCATTTTGCTGTCACCGGTTCTTTTTTTGGGGAGATTCGGTTCCCCCACTAAAGAAGTATCCTTCTAACCTCTCTACTGGAGGACCTAGAAACAGACGAAGAGAAAACCACACGGCTGGGATCCGCGAGGCGCCATGCCGCTGAACCTCAGCGACCTGGGCCGGCTCTCGAGGTGCTTGAGCAGCTCCGCCTGCCCCGGCGGGCAGCTGCCGGAGAACGTCTCGCAGCCTTGGTGCGCACCAGGCGTTTCGGGCCTCGTCTTTTCAACACTACACCCAAGGTTGAAAAAGGATCGGCGTGTTTCACCCCCCCCCCCAAAAAAAAAAAGAAAGAAAGAAAAATAATAAGAAAACAATAAGTACATTAACATGACATTAACATATATATATATATATGGTTGGCCCCTTGTCAGTTTTGCGAGCGCCATGCAGCACTTGTACATATATATATATATATATATAAATGTGCTCCCCCTTTTAATCAACGCACCCTATTAATAGGTACGATTTTTTCCCAGACCGCCGTGTCCCCAACACTAATTTTAGAATAGCCCAATTCAAGACCAATACTAGACTCTCGAATTTCTCGCCCAGACCAGCCTCAGCCTTATTAGTTAAGGACCCAAGCTCCTTGCACCATCCCAATACAAAATTATAAATGCATACTTACCTTGTACTAATTTGCATTGATTTATTGAGTTCTAATTCTAAATTTGAGCCCTTCACTCTTGAATCCCAAAAAACACGAACAACCCTTGAACGGCTGTTTTACATTCGTGATTCGGACAATTGCGGTTTTAAAGTTTTTTGTGTCCGGGAAGGGGGGGAGCCCATTTGGACGAGGACCAAAGAGCAAATCCGGTCGACCTCAACGTTCCCTATCAATGAATATGTTTTTCTCCCAGACGCTATTCACTTTTAGGGGGGTCCGCGGTTATTAATCATTAAGGGCAACTGATGATATATATATATATATGCACGTATTCTACACTATATATATATATATGGATATATGTGTACAGTTATGTAATGTTATATATATAATGGACATTGGTCTTTTTTTACGTTTGATGCTCGTTTTGGTATGTGCTTCAAAGGAAATCCAAACGGCACGACTGCCCTTTGCAACTGGATGCAGGCCATCTGGGTCCGCTGTGCGCAGTTTGCGCCGACCGGTTTTACAGGGCCAAAGGCGGCTGCGAGATCTGCGCCGAGGCGGTGGTTTGGGTGAAAGCACCAAGCCCCGGTGCCCTTCGAAGGGAAGCCACAGGTTTGAACAAGAATGGCGCTTAAAACATGTTGGAAGAGAACACATGGTGTTTGAAGAATCGTGGTTGAACAAACACAAAACTTTATTGGTTTTACTGGCTTGGATTTAATAGATGCACTCGTGTGCGCCAAAAGTGTGTTGTTTGAACAATACCGGTTGTAATATGTTCGGACAAACACAGATGGTGGTGGTTTGAAACACATGGTGGTTTGGCCTTGTTTGAACAATAGTGGCTTAACATGTTAACGCGAACAAAATAATCCTGTTCGAACAAAAGTGGTTTTATCATGTTACTGCACACAAAGGATGTTGTTTGAATAATCGTGGATGAAACTTGCGCGCAAGTAACCAACACTAGTTTTGTTTGGACAATAGTGGTTCAAACATGTTTGAACGAACAAACAACGAGCTTGTTTGAAATTGTGGTTGAACCATGTTTGAACACTGGCTTGGCCAGCCGTGGCGAAGGCGTCAGACCAGGGCCAGCAATCCCTGTGGGCCATGGCTGCCGTCCTAGGCATCGCTGCTGTTCTCGTGGCTGTGGCGGCGTGGTTGGTACGGGGTAGAGTGGAGCAGCGCTGGAAGAAGGCGGGGTCGTTTTAGCTCTTCGGAGGTTTTGCCACTGAGGAAATCAGGCGTGGGGTGTGGCTAACGTCCAGGTTTGCCTTGTGGCTTACCGGGAGACCGTTCCCAGACGGGCAGATGGCGCTTAAGGGAAACCAACGAAAACCGACCAATTACAAAGGCTCGCTGTGAAAACCGGCGGGCGGGAGGTTCGTGCGCGCAGTCAGGCGCATGCCCGATGGCACGTGCTGGTCGACTTGGCTGCGCGGCAGGCAGGGCTCGTGCTGCCACAGAGTTGCGCTGTGCCAACGCACCACATGCAACACCAGTTGGGCAAGTGGTTAGTACCGTACCCCTCACTTAAACCCAGGTTCATCCCTTTGTAGACCCTTGTAATCAAGGTGACTCAATTTTTTAGCGATCACCCCCCCAGACGCCAGCGCGAACCGGCGAGGCAGGGGTCCTGCTGCAGCTGGCCCAGCTTTATGCGGTTCTAGGCACCCTGGTGGAAGACCCGCTCACCAGTGAAGGCTGGATCCGGTCTGGCTTGCGTGAAAGCTGATAGTCTGGCCGCGGGTACACATACACCTATGTTTATACATGTATATTATACTTGGCGTTTGCCGGGTCAAACCTGCCTGTGTAGTTGCTAAAGTCATATTAATTGACATGTAGAAACACGTGCCCGCTCGATTGCGCACCTGCTGGCCTGTGTTTTTCTTGCCCGGTGGCTTGGCCCATATGCTTTGCCGTTCCAATTGAGTGGTCGCCGGACTGCGCACGCGGCCAAAAATGGGAGCCCTGAACCCTTAACGGGCAAGAGTCAGTTGAGCCACAACCCAAACCCGGGCAGATGAAGGTTAGTGAGGGACAGTCCCAGCCAGAAACAGCTGCGGCCGCCTTTGTATTTCCTTACATGGTTCTGGGTCAACCATTTTGATACCGGGTTGTGATTGTGACTCGCTTGAGCAAACTTTGACATGTAACTGCTGCCCACGCTTAAGGCTTTTTTCTTGGCCTCTGCCCTTGGCAAGCCCAGTTGGAGCTCACAGCATGTCGTGTCTTTCTTAGGATCGACTGGCAGTGGCAAAACACGCAGGCGGCAAGTTGCATTGGAAGTATACTGCAGGACATCGCAAGTTGCAGTTCAAAGAGCAGAAATGGAATCGATCAAGGTGGAATCACTGCTGTACTTCCAAACTGTTTCGGCCCAAGCTTGTTCAGAACACAGCCGAGGTTTCCTATTCGCATAGATGTATAGACTATCTACAAAGATGTGACCATTTGTATATAGTATATGCGCACACTCCTCTATGCATAGTATATATATATATACACACATGTAGGGGTACACATTACTAGGCATATATATATATATATATATACACATGTATGTACTTGTATGTACACATTCAGATTTACGTCATTATTCATATGCACGACATGCACATGTGAATTGTGCCGACATCAGTAGGCCCCGAACTGTCTGGCAGCAAGATACAAGCTTGCGCCAAATCCCGCATAGTCTAGCACGCAATCTGACACTGCTGAGGCTCACATACAGATTTTGAGCAGACCGAGGGCATTCTGATAGCTGTCCTTAGGTCTGCAAAGCTCCCAGACCCTTGGAAACATTCGATTTTTTACTGAATCTATAGTTGGATGTTGCGCGGGGACACTGTTTTCTCTTTGCTTCGTCCAAACCACAGGCCCGAACAAAAGTCGACCCCTTCGTCCCATGGACAGCCAGGGCCGACTTTTGCAATCTTTTCAATATTGGTTTCTTCTTGGGTTCTTGCGAGGCTCCCTAGAAGAGACTTTTAAGACTTCTCACAGGGCTCCTTGTAAAGCTTACACAGTTCGCATGGCTCAGAAGGCGCCGTACTCCAAATGTGCCGATTCCCCCCTTCCCCCAGTCGCCTCAACCCCGCCCCTCGGCCCAACTGGACTCCTCGAGCTTGAGGCTCCCAACGGGAGCTCTGGGAGCGCAAGTACATGGACTTCATGCAGCTCAATTTGGCACAGGTCCAGGACGGCCGCGTTTTTTTTTTTTGATCCGCTCTTCTTCTTTTGCTCTTTTTTTTTGGGGGGGGGTCCCCTCGCCCAGTAAAAACAAGTCGGACTTTAGACTTTCTTTCTTAGATTTTGGTGGGGGGGGGCACCTTGTTTTTCCCCGCGCCCCTAAAAACAGGGCGGACTTTTGCAAGAACCAGTTGTGTTTGTTTGCCCCTTTGGCCGCCCCTGTGGGGTCCGACTGTTGGTGTACCTTACCACAGCATTCACTTGGGACCGCTTCAGGCCCCAACAAGAACAGGTTTAGCGCGTGGGGAAACGGTTGGTGACCATCTTGAACTTCCGGCCGTTTGCCCTTACCAATGAACTCCACTTGCTGTCGAGCTGCTGCTGCTGTTGTTGCTGTTTGGGTACAACGACACAGGCCCAGGTGGGGTCCCTACCAACTGCACTTGATGTCTATTCTGGAAGGTGGGCAAAACGAAGATAATATCACTTCCAGCTTCACTCAAATCGTCTCTGCCTCAATGTGTTCAACGTTGAAATAGAGGGGCTCCACGGTTTTCCGAGATCGAAGCCCCACTGGGGCTTTTCATGAGCTTGCGTGTTGAGTTTGAGATTTCTCGGGATCGCTTGGGGTTCTTCGTCTTCCAGGTTCCTTCTCAAAGTGGCGGTTTCAGTGGGCCCCCAATGAATTGCAATGGTTGAAATCCAGCGACCCTCCTGCAAAAAGTTCCTAAATGGCGGGTTTCAGAGAATTCTTTAAGGAAACCCAGCCCCAAAAGCATCATTCAGAATACCCAAATATATCCAATTTGCTGGACCCAGGCTAACACGGAAGCTGACGATCGGAGGGTTCGGAAGCCTTCTTTCGTTTTGGGAAGGCGGAAAACGGGGGTAGTTGCTCTTGGGTCTACACCGATTCTCTTTTGGGGGTTCCCTCTTCGGTTCCGTGTTGATTTGCAGGTGTGACTTGCAATGCATGTCCATAGTGTCCCGAAGGAAATCATCAAATCAAGAACAAGATTCAAGGAGGCCCTCATGCCTTTCAGTTGTGTGGCCGCGCGTTGTGCGTGTGTTTGTCCCGGTTTTTCATATGTGTTCAAGGGAAACCAAAAGGAACCACTCACACTGAGAGTACCCCTTCGACACAGAAGCCCAGTGGGGTGATCGAACTCGGAAGGACGCGGTCCGGGCGGAGTGCCTCTGGCATGGCCCCACAGTACGCCTGGCATCAGCGCTGGCTTCGCCGGTGGTGCCCGTGGCGATGCTGCTGGCGTGTTCAATGCTGGAGCTTCTGAAGCCGTCCCTAGGTGACTTGGATTGAACAAGCCACTCACTCAGCTGGTGCCTTGGCCCCTTTTGACACCCTTGTTTGTTGCCCGCATGTTCTCTTGTCAGCAAATGAAGCCACTTGAAGGTTTTGTTTTGTGCGTAGCATTGCAGGGCCGTGGCAGGGCACTGGCTCTGGCTGCCTGGCTGGCTGGCTGGCTGGCTGGTTGGTTGGTCTTTGGTCCCTACTGTGGGTGGACGAAATCCATTTCGCACCACTTTGAAACCATGGTTGAAACCATTTTTTGTTGGTATTTACAGGGGAATCGAATCAGAAACCAGGGACTCTTAGGCTAATGGTGCGATTTCTGGATTTCGCCCACCCGTAGGTCCCTTGGTCTCTTGGCTCTCTGGTGCCTTCCATGGGCTTCGCATCCCCCCGTCCGTTTTTTGCTCGCCCGTAAGTTGGGCACGCAGCCTGCGTGGTGTCTGAACTTGCGGCCGCGGCCCACAAGTCAGTTGCCCCACGTGGGGGAGGTCTAGCTTTTGCATTCCGCCGTCCACTTGCAATTTCCATGGTGAGGTGAGCGCTCACCGGACTCGTTGGGTTCACTGAATTTCCAGGCTGATAGGATGAGAGATGTGGACATGTACAAGGATACCATAGCAAGCTGGCTTTTGCTTGCAGAGCCAATGCCGCGCGCGCAGCCTTTGTTTTGCTAGAGGCGATGTCCGTAAGAATCAACCGCCGAAATCCCTGCAACATGCATTGAACCGAACTACTTGGTGGCGCGTAAGGTCACTTGGCAACTAGGCAGGCCGAGCCATGATTTTGGAGCACGCAGCCAACCATGGTTTCATGTTGGCTTGCTGAAAAAAAGGTGCTCAACAAACAGAGGGCCCACGATTTGAAGAAACTGCATCATTTACCACGAGCTCACTTGGCGGCAAGCTCACCCTTGAAGGTCGGACCACATATTTTGTCTAACTAGCGGTTGAGTCCGAATTGTTTTTTCCTCGTCGTTCTCTTCATAGTCCCAGTTGGATTTGTTCTGAATAAATTGATCTTTGAACAGAAGTGGATGGGCACGGCATGGCACGGCTAGAGAATAGTTATGTGTCTCCTTTGTTTTGTGGAGTCTGTACTTGTTTCTTGAGTTTGAAGAAACGTGCCAACCTGATATTTCGTATTTTCTCAGCCGAGGTTTCAGCAGTGCCTTCAAGGTGCTGACCATGTTGCTTGGTTGCTTTGTTGCTTTGACCGTTTTTTCAAGTTATTTTGTTTGTGTGTGTGTCAATCGTATTTTTCCTCTTCGCGCTTAACCCGTATTGGCCATCTAGTAGGTGGTTTCTACCACCTTGTTCAATCAGGCTTCTAGCAAATGTCCATGGGTTTTGGGCGCAGCAGCTCGCCTGTTGAAGGGTTTCTTCATCATTTCAGGGCTTCAGAAGGTCAAACATATGACGCTCGTATCAGAATTGATATTTGTTGAAAAAACATAGCTCCCTCAAACCCGTGCAGTTTGCTTCACTGGTTCGGTTAGTTCCTTCACGGGCAGCGAGTTGCACTTTTTGCACGCCGCTGCGACCAGGTTCTACATCGGTGGTGCCCGGCAATCCAGCGACCTCTTCCGATGCCAAGAGGTAGATGCAGGATCGCAAGTCAATCAAAACCCCAGAAGTTCTTGTTTCCAAGGCAAAGTCTACCCAACGACTCTTAAAGCGCACTTAAGCCCTCTTCGGGCTTTTCCGAAGTGCCCTTTGCTTTGTTCAGCGGGTTGAATGTAGGTGGACACTCCCAAGCCGCCGTTTGGTGTTCTTTGCTTTGATTTTCATAGATCCCTCTAGTGTGCAAATTGTGGCTCAAGTGCGCTCTTCGTGCGAAACTAGACTAGTTGTTCCAAAAGAGAACCCCGCCTGTTACGATGCGCATAGGTGTTCTACCTTGGCAGGCGGTGATTCCCTGGGGGACTTTGCTTTTCTTCAGAAGCTGCCGTTCATTTCGTGTTCAGACACCGAAGGCACGGCCCGCTGGGTGCCTCAGCTCAAGGGTGCCTCAGCCTGGGTTTGGCTGGTGCTTGTCAAAAGCGAGGTCTACGTCACGGGCTGTGGCACGGCCTTGTTCTATGTCTGCATTATACCAGCTGCCCTCATGTACCTCTTCGTCCGCCAGCATGTGATATTGAATCTTGATCAAGTCTGAGTACTTTTGCTGTTCTGGGTGCACTGAATGTCTTTCAGGTTGCACTTTACTCAGTGGCCCCAGTAAAAACTGCCACTTTAAGCGGTCCAAAAAACAGAAATCTGACAATCCCTTGCGTCACACGCGCAAGTGAAGCAGGACTAATCCCCTGCAAGACTCGAAGAAACCATAGCGGAGTGGCGTTGCTCAGAAAGGTGGTGCAACGTGCTTGGCTTCAGACCCAAAAGTCGTGACCTGGGGAACATGGAAAGGCGCAGTTCCTACTAGGGATTCAAAGGCAATTCCTCATGCTCATAGGCGTGCTTCAATTGTTTAGGTTGTTTAAGCATGCTCAGCCCATTGTTTGATCAACTTTCTGTTGGTTTCTCTTAGGGTGTCAGGATCTGTTTTGTATTTGCCCCACCTTAGCTCCAGGTCGTGCATCTTTTTGCCACTTTTGGGCGAGGCCACACACACACAGACACACACACCCCACCCAGCAAACATATGGCTGTGGGTCGATATCCCGTATCCCCAGTGAACATCCCAACCCCCACCAGAAAATAGGTTCCAAAAATGGGTGGTGAGTTCAGCTACCAACCAAAGTAGAGCCATAGGTTGTGCCCCAGCAAACATATTGTCTTGGGGCCTAAATTGCAGGGCTCCTTCAAAGATGCATTTTGCAACCGTTTGAAACATGTCATTTTCCACCGAAACAAAAAGGGAAACCACCATTTACAAGTTGCAATGATCAGGTGTATGCATCCGGATCCCACTAAAGGCGACGTTGGGAGCTTTCGGAGAGGCGGCGGAGCAAGACGGTGACCGCCGTGGCCGAGAAGTCGAAGACCGGGTGGCTGGCGAGGCTTCAGCCCCTGGAAGGCCCGAACCCCCAGGCGGGGGTTTTCGGGCTGGCTCGCCGCTTTTCAGGTTTCACCCATGGTGCATGGCGTTTTAGAGCCAAACCCAAAAAATATCAACAGAATCTGATGCTCCCGGCGTACCTCTTTTTTTTCGGGAAACACCCTTGTTGGACGCTCTCAACCATGGACCTCTCTTGACCCTGGTGGACCTCCTCGGGGTGGTTCTGAAGGGAAGCCAAAAGGAAAACACACATTTCGGGCTCATCGTTTTGTTTCAGAAACGTGCTTAGGGAATGCCAGCAGCCCAACAAATTGACCGTTAGAAGTTAGAAGTATTCCCAAGGCCTGCATGAGGAGCTTTGACCATGGCACATAGATTTGAGCATACATAGAAGGTGGAAGACTTCCCGAACTAGCAGCAAGGGTTTTCTCTTACATAAACAGAACGACGCTCTTTGTTAATGTGGAAGCCGGTGTGTTTCGACTCGATGCATCTAACATGACTGACACCAGACCTCCCTATGGCATGTAATTTGAGCAACAGTAGATATTGTTCACCGGCGTATACTCTGCTATTTTATCCCGAGCTCCGCTTTAGATGGAAATCCAGATGTTAGGTTTTGGAAGGTTTTGGAGGGTTTTGGGAATTTGCAGAAGAATCTGCTGTATGGAGCGCACTCACCAAAGCGCCCTTGAGCGGAAGTACTCACCAAATCTCCAGCGCAGTTGGTAACTCCACACTTTAATATATCAACCTCTATATATACATGATGGAGATATACAAGCATGCAGCAAGGGTACATATATATATATATTTATACATAGGTTTTACTCAGTTGCCCAAAGCCGACTTTTTGACCAGTTGGTTTCCCTGATTTGGTCCCAAACTGAGATTATTCACCGTGGCTCATGATATGGTTCGTTACACCCCAGCTTGCCACATTCCTTCGATGATTCCTGCCAGAATCTCAACTTTCTCGAGGTGGGATCATAAGCATTTTTGATGGCCAAGCATCACTACTGTGGATAGACAAAACCTAAACCACCATTTGGTAGGTGGTTTAATCCCATTGTTTATAGTTTGTCATGCACTTCACGTGGCGCAGGATTTTGTCCAACCACAGTAGTTAATTCCCAGCGGTCCAAGCACCTTCTAAGGAGGCACTTGGACCCCTTTATACTCCCAGAAGCCATCAGGAGGTATTTGGACCCTCCGGGATTGCCAGTTGAAGATGATGGTGCCTTCTGTTGTGGGCTTGGACATAAATATATATATATATATATATAATATATATATATATATATTTATGTCCAAGTTATATTTACACATATACACGGTTTCCAGAGACTGGCGCCAGGCAACTGCTGAACATTGCGGCACAAGACCTTGCTCGGGGTTAGGGGTGCAAGGGGTTCTAGACCAATGAGGAGCCTTTCCGGGCCACGTCAGAGTTATTGATCATGGCACCTTTGTATTTGTTGGGGTTTCAAGGGAGAGCAAAGAGAAAAGGCTCTCAACATGAATGGAACATGTTTCTTTGGGGTTCTCATGTTCTTCTGCACGAAGTGGTTTTTCTTTTCCCAGGGGTCCAGTTGAGAGTCCAGTTGAGAGTGCTGAAGGATCAGGAGCACCTGCTTGCTGCCGCGGTGGCGCACATGGCGGTTGCGCTCCGGGGCCAGGCGTGCCTTTGCGCCTTGCGCTTTGCGCTTTGCTTCTTTAAAACGCGAGTCGACGCGTATGAGCCATTGACAAACCTGTTCTGGAGTCGTCTCCAAAACTATGTAATATTGTGGGCCAAATGTGGGACAGAATCACAACATACAGTTTGCTCTGGTGGGCAAGTGTGGGGTGTTCCCCATAGAAATTGGCGTTTTTTTCTGTTGATTTCCCGGCAACCCTGGGGTCCCCTAGTTTGGGACACACTTAATATATATATATATAATATATATATATATATATGTATTATATACATATATATGCATATGCATAAGAAGGGGTATATGAGGAACTGACGAACCTCGCGTTGTTTGTTTCGTTCGGAGAGGACGAGGAGAGGGGGCCCATCCAAAATTCCACAGGTGCGAAACCAGTGAGCTCACCATTCGAAGGCCCTCGGGATCCGCATAGAATTGATGTGGGGTTTTCTCATGTTGGCGTGAGGCTGAACGCGTCTCAAATAATTTCAAAGATGGCTGAAGCTCTGGGAATCAACCCCATATCTTGATACATCATAGATTCCGGACCACTTCAGCTGATCTCGCCCTCCGGTTCGCGACGAAATCGTCGATGGTTTGGCTCCTTGCTTCTCAGTCCATTTTGTTATTTGGATTGGGGCGATTTATGCAAGTGGATCCCATGTGTCTCTCAAGGCGCTTCTTTATGCTGGCTTAAAGGCAAGAAGCCGAGCTCTGGGGTGTTCAACCCACTTGGTAAATCGAGTAATTTCCATGTGGAATGCTGAAAATGAGGACGAACCCACTTCACCGAGTCTAGACCGAGCTTACAAACTAACAAAACCTGACGTGAGATGAACGTCCAAAGTAGGCAGCGCAGGTGCTGCTACAGCTGCGCGATGGCCAGGCGACGCTTGGCAGCAGGCAGCAGGCAGCAGGCAGCAGGCAGCAGGCAGCAGGCAGCAGGCAGCAGGCAGCAGGCAGCAGGCAGCAGGCAGCAGGCAGCAGGCAGCAGGCAGCGTCGCCAGAGACTTTGGCATCACTTGGATGCTGGGCCAAAGATAACCAGCTCACCAACTTGGTAAGACGAGCTTGTAGCCTTTACCTGCCAAGAAGAATGTTTGTGGTTTGTACTTCACAGTAGTTCTGCTGCTGCTTTGAAGAAAGGTTGTCCAAGATGTGGATGCCTGTTTTGGCCGCTTGTGATCCCTTCAAAGTGAAAATTGAGGGGGCAACTATTGCGGTCTTGAATTGGGACCTTTTCTGAAGAGCCCTCGCATGGCTTTGCTGGCCCAACACAGCGAAGGGAGATGAGAACTGCGAAGGAAGAGTTTCGCACCGATGCGGAGCTGAATGCAACTCGGACGAATATGGGCTGCTCCTTTGTTGTGTGCAGAAAGTGGGCAAGAAGTCGGAGGTGAGCAGTTGGGGCTTGGCTTGCCGCATTCCAGTTTTATCCAACCATTTTGGGGGGTCTCATCTTGATACAAATCGTGGTGTGCCTTTTGTGGAGGTTTCATTTGGGGTGGCCTTTGTGCTAGGTGTGTTCTATATGGAGTGTCCACCGTGTGTTCTCTGCGGTGGTATCCGGAGTTTTTGCTTCACATGCCATTGTCAAAAGCCGCTTTTACCAGGGGTTGGTAGGAACGGTGATCAGCCCTTGTATAGACTACCACTGTACGTAATCTGCCCATGCGACGCATGGAGTGTTCTACACGCAGTTTCCAGAGGCAGGCGCATTGTCTGTGCCATGAGGAGGGTCCCGGTTTGTTTGCGAGAGGGGGATGTTGCCAGCGGCGCGTTTTTGAGTATAAGTAGCTGTTTTTTTTTCTTCTTCATTTTGAGGTTTGGAGTCCAAAATCAAGAAACTCTAGAGATAAAAACAAAATAATATATATATATATATATTAAACATAAAACGGTCAAACCCCACGCTCACAACATCCCTCTCTGTTGTTTGCGTACAATTGTAGTACGTGCGTGGTGCGGGCGCGCAGGCGCGCAGGCGTGCAGGCTTGCAGGCTTGCAAGCTTGCAGGCGTGTAAGTGGTCGGGCGTTTATGTGCGAGTGAGTGCTTGCGTACGTGCATGCGCTGCAAGCGTGGGTTCGTGTTTTTTTTTGGTCTTTTTTGTTTGCTTGTTTGTGTGTTTGTTTGCTTGCTTGCTTGCTTGCTTGCTTGTTTGTTTGTTTGTTTGTTTGTTTGTTTGTTTGTTTGTTTGTTTGTTTGTTTTGCTTGCTTGCTTGCTTGCTTGTTTGTTTGTTTGTTTGTGGTTGGTTGGTTGGTTGGTTGGTTGGTTGGTTGGTTTGGTTTGGTTGGTTGGTTGGTTGGTTGGTTGGTTGGTTGGTTGGTGGGTGGGTTGGTTGGTGTTGGTTGGTGTTGGTTGGTGTTGGTTGCTGTTGGTTGCTGTTGGTTGCTGTTGGTTGCTGTTGGTTGGTTTTGGTTGGTTGGGTTTTTGGTTAGTTGATTTTGGTTGGTTGGGTTCTTGGTTGGTTGGTTGGTTGGTTGGTTGGTTGGTTGGTTGGTTGGTTGGTTGGTTGGTTGGTTGGTTGGTTGGTTGGTTGGTTTGTGTGTTTGTTTGTGTGTTTGTTTGTTTGTTTGTTTGTTTGTTTGTTTGTTTGTTTGTTTTTGTTTGTTTGCTTCTTTGCTTGCTTGTTTGTTTTTGTTTGTTTGTTTGTTTGTTTGTTTGTTTGTTGGCTTCTTGCTTGCTTGCTTGCTTGCTTGCTTGCTTGCTTGCTTGCTTGCTTGCTTGCTTGCTTGCTTGTTTGTTTGCTTGCCTGCCTGCTTGTTTGTTCGTTTGTTTGTGTGTCAGATATGGCTAGCTATTTGTTGACTAGAAGGAGGATAAATACAACTTGGCATAAGTTAGTGGCAGCTGTGGGCATCGCGTTTCCTTTTTGATGACTTCAATTGCTCAAGGTGCTTTTGCTAAGTTTTTCTCGAAAGCATTGCGAAAGGCTCTTGAGGAAAGACCCACCAGCACGTAGCAGTAGCAAGTAGCACACGCAAGATGCATGCAATAGCAAGTAGCACTAGCCAGTGGCACCGACAATGTCGGACTAGCAAGACGAACTAGCCAGTAGCACTAGCCAGTAGCACTAGCAACATGGCACTAGCAAGACAGCACTGCAAAATTTGCAGTAGCAAGTGGTGCTAGCAACTTTGCAGTAGCGAGTTGCACTACGAAGTTGCACTAGGAAGTTGCATTGGCAAGTTGCAGCAGAGGGTCCTGGAGCAAGTTGCTCAAGGAAGATGCAGAAGAGTTGTGCAAAGCAAGCTGCGTGATCCAGTTACATGAGGTTGCTTTAGCAAGCTGCAACACAGGGCTGTCCGCTGCATGTGGCGCAAGCTTCGTTGTAGGACCTAGAGGAAAGCACACACTTGCAGTTTCTGTGGACTGACGTCGGCCACAACTCCGATTCATCTTTCAAGCTAAGTCCGTGGTAAGACAGCTTGCACTAAAGATGTGCATTGCTCAGGCCGAGCAACTGATACTCAGGGCTCGGAACTCCGAAGCCCAGTGCCCAAGACAGAAAACTTGCTGCAGTTTTGTGGATTGGCGCGAGAGGTTTTCAACATGCTTATGGGTTCGCGTGTGAAAGGAAGAACGTGAAGCCCAACAAGAAATCGCAAACAGTCCTCCTCAGCATTTGACAGCGACCACGCCGATCCCCGCAGAGTTCGCGCGGGCATGTTCCCAAAACATCCGCAGTCCTTTGACGTCGACCACGCCGATCCATCGACTCTTTCTGCACGCCCCCTGCAAAGCTTAAGCTAGTCATATTTTGCATTTTGAAGCCGCGGAAGTTTGTCTCGTGGTTTGCGCGCCTGCTCTTGGAAGCAAGCGGCCCCAGGCTTGAATCCTGCTTGGTCTCCAAGGCAGCTGCGCGAAAGTGATTCGCAAAGTGCACATTTGCAGCTCTGATCTGAGTGCAAAAAAGTGGGGTGAACTATAAGAAAGTGGTACGGGAAGTGTGCTTTCAGAAGGCTCCGGCTGGAAGGTCGCAAAGCTTAGCTATACGAGAGTATTACGCGAAGTACTGTGCACTTTCGTGAGTCCGGATTGACAGTTGTACTCGCGTCGAAAGGTTAGCGCGGTGGTCAGCGCGGCGCGCGGAGAACTTGCCCAGAGAGTTTGCTCAGAGAAACTTGTTCAGAGAAGCTTGCTGAAAGAACGTGCCCAGAGAACTTGTGCCAAGAACCTAATACGAGGAGAAGTTGCTCAGAGGAACTCGCAGCAACAATTCCCGACAAAATCGCACAGAGAACTTGCTAGTAGAACATGCCTCTGCGTGCTGTTCTAGTTGTTTTGGTTTTCAGGGTCAATGTAACAAGCCCCTACTAAGTCCATGCATGAGGTTTTTGCAATTCCTCACACGCTTGTCGTGGTACCACGCAGGCGTGTGGGAGGATTGAAGGAATGGTTAATGTGCGGTTTCCAAGGTGAGCAGATTCCTTGAGACCGACGACTTCACCACGCAGACGTTGCGCTCCCGGGCCATCATGGAAATGCTGGTGGAGCGTTGCGAAATGGAGAGGGTCTCAAAGCAGGACCGACACTTGGCCGAATGAGTCTCTCTTTTTACTGCTGCGTTGTGTTTGAACAGGCGGTTGAGGGCTCAGGGGGGAGCGCAGAGAGAGAGAGAGAGATAGACAGATAAAGACACAGAAGAGAGAAAGAGAGAGAGAGAGAGAAGAAAAAAACGATGGTGGGGAGGGAGGGTGGGAGGAGGGAGGGAGGGAGTGAGCGAGTTGTGCGAGTGTGTGAGTGTGGGGGGGGGCGGGCGGGTGGGTGCGTGAGTGAGAAAGTGAGCGCGCGCGCGCGCGGGTGGGCGGGTGAGTGAATGGTGCAGCGAGAGCGAGAGCGAGCGAGTGCTCCTACGTGCGGGCGTGAGTGAGCGAGAGAGATGGCGGAGAACGAGAAAGAGAGAGAGAGAGAGAGGAAGAAAACAACCGAGAACAAAATGACAGCAGCAATGTAGAATCTGAGGCCTTTTGGCCGGCGCCAAAGAGGTGTTCTTCAAATACGCCGCTCGGCTCAGTGTCGATTAGTGACGTTACGGACGGTTTTGTGTAAGATCAGTTCCCGCCTTTACGCGTGCGCTGGGTGCCACAGGTGGGGCCAAATATGCATGAGGCGGTTGCCGCTTGTTTTCCCTTATTTACACGTAGCGCTCCTCATATAAGCAACCATGGAACAAGGGCATCTTGGTTGGTTTTGCGAGTCATTCTAGTGCCGGGCGCTCGTTTCGTTTCCAAATTCCCCCCCCCAAAAAAAAACCTGCGAAAACAATGGTGGCATTCCTTTAATGGCCTTTGACAACCCTCCCTTCACACCCGCGGCCCAAAGGGCGCGAAATTCTGTACTGGGTGGCCCAGGATTAAGGAGTATAGTTTTTCAGACATATATATATATATATATACATTGTTTTTCCCAGACCGCGGGTCCTTGATACCACGAAATGCTGCCTCTGCCACACGAACACACCCCCAGATGCACGAAGTGCTGCGCCTGTGACAATGTCAACACTGCCAGCCCGAAGTGCTTCCAGCGGGCCAGAGCAGCGTGCTCGACAACATCCAGTTTCTTGAGACAGCTGCCAAAGTGATGAGTGAGTGAGTGAGTGAGTGAGTGAGTGGGTGAGTGAGTGAGTGAGTGGGAGAGTGAGCGACCGAGCAAGCGAGCAAGCGAGCGAGGGAGTGAGTGGGTGAGTGAGCGAGCGAGCGAGCAAACGAGCGAGTGAGTGAGTGAGTGAGCGAGCGAGCAAGCGAGCGAGCGAGTGAGTGAGTGAGTGAGAGTGAGAGTGAAAGTGAGTGTGAGTGTGGAGTGTGAGTGTGTCAGTGAGTGAGTGAGTGAGTGTGAGTGTGAGTGTGGGCACGAAATGCTGCCTCTGCCACACGGACACACCCCCAGATGCACGAAGTGCTGCGCCTGCCACGATTTAAGCATTTTGGGATACTCCTTACTCTCGCTTCTTCAACTCGAGGCCTTGTGCCGCTACTTCTGGATGGAGTTTGTGCAGAAGCTGTTGGCCGTTGGCCTTCTGGCTGCCACCTGCAAAGCAAAAACTGCGGGTTCATGGGGGTGTCGACTTGCTGGTTCTGTTGCCAGGTTTTTTCAGCAGTTTCGTCTGGGCCAAAACGTTTGAAGTTCTAGGATGTGGCCCCAGTTTCCTTTTCAGACTACGCGAAGTGGGATGCTATTTCTGAATGAAGCCTGACATCACAAACCTGTCATGCGCCTTTTTTGGGCCGCGATCTGAACCTGTGCCGTTGGGGCGTGTTCGTCAAAGATCTGAAATCCGCCCAGGTGGTTTCCACGGACGACGCCTTGCACCTGGCTTTGGCCATTGTTCTGGTCATGGCCGCCACCATTGCAATGGTTCGTCCCTACATCCAGCCGCAGGCGCGAAATCTCGTATCTCAACAAAAACAAGATCGGCGCGTGCCGGGGGGAAGAGCCAACTGAAATCCCGCAACCTCCGGCGAGGTCCTCAAAAATATGTAAGAACATTGAAGGCTCCCCAGAAGGTTCCTCGCAAACCTTTCCTGGCGTGTGTTGATCGCTGATACAGCACATGCCTGCAACGACTCGCAGTCACTGTTTGACTTTATTGATGCCTTTTGGACATGCAATAAAGCATGCTAGTGTGGCAATATTGAAGCTAGGCAACAGACAGCCGACAAAGGACCACAGATCGACCATCCACACTGCCAAGGCTTGCCCCACCGTGATGCTGCTTTCTTTCAGACAAAAGGAGACTTCAGATACGCCATCCACTGCACTAATCAAACTGGGTTGTGCTGTTGGTTCCTTGACCACATTCTGATGTTTAGTTCCCAGATGGTTTTTCTTCGGGGTGTTCCCTTTGGATTCAAACTCCACACTCCCATGTTGACCTACCGCTTGGCAGATGAACGATCTGCACTGCTTCTCCATGATTTGCCACTTGGCTCAACTCAATTGCATCGCTTCATCCAAGTTTGATTGAGCGAAGGTTCCATAAACGGTAGATGCCCAGCTGTTGCAACGCTCGGCCACAAGCTGTGTCAAACTGCAGTATTTCAGGGGCTTTCCTTGTTCTCTTTCTGGCGCCTCAGGGCATCCGTAGCATCCATTTCGGCGGCCTTTGGCACAGACCCGGGCTGATGCTTCACGGGGAAATACGGAATCCATTGGCATGGCAGACGGTAAGTCTCAGCGCAAGACGGGTGATGTTGACATCTATTTCCGGGGGTGGAAGTCCTAGGTCCTCGTGATGTTTGTTTGTTTTGCTTGTTGTTGTGCTGGCCATTTGGGAACAGAGCGTGAAACCGACCCCTGGTTTGGCCAATTTTCCTTCAGCGACAAAACGTTCTTTCGGGTTGCGTGTGTTGGGGAAGGGTATGGCTGAGGGTATGGCTGAGGGTATGGCTGAGGTCTTGCAGGGGCGGCTATTGGCTTCTCCACCACCGGCACTTCTGGGGATCTCGCGTACTGGCTCTGGCTGAGCCGCGTGTCCTTTCTGCTGCCTTTGCTGCTGGCCGCTACTCAGGCGCGCGCGCGCGTGTCGACTGCATGAACCTCCAACAAAAAAGGGTAGGGGCAATCTTCCAATTGATTGCACAGCAGGTCTAGGCTTGTTCCTGATGACTACGAGCTAGGGCCAGCAAGTCCCGCTTGACAGGGTCTGAAATTTGGATATGATTGCCACGCACATTGCTTTCCTGTGGAGAAGGCTATGTTGTCGTGAGGGCACCCTTTTCCACCCTTTTGTAGATTGGCTTCAAGGAAGACCAGAAGAAGTGCCGCCATTTTGGGGCCCCCGGTTTTTATACATCTCCATAGAATTTGATCAGAGCAGCATGCTTCCATTGATTTTGGCCAGTGTCTTTCTCCACGCTTGCGCAGCAAGATAAGCCCTGCATGTTTGGCGGCGATGGCGACTTCAGGTGCTCAAGCCGGACAGCTGCGAGGCACTTGCCGCACGCCTCTTCCAGGAGATACGATGTGTTCGATGTGTTCCGCAAATCTGCGGATGCGGATTCCTGGGACGCCTGGTTGTAATTGGTTGGCATCGTCGTCGTCGTCGTCGTCGTCGAGTGTTGGCATTGCAAGGCTTTGCAGGTGGAGTTGGGGTCAGGAAAGTTTGCTCGTGTAGCCTGCGACTTCTGGAGGATCCATTTGTTGGCCGTTCGGCGAAGTGGCATATTTCTCTGACGTTCCGCGAAGCGTCGTTTGCCCGAAAAACTGCCGTTTCCCAAATGCCGGTCAAATGGTCGGGAAAGGTTTCCGTTTGGATGCGCTATGCCGTTTCGCTTTGGCAAGCGACCGCCTACCATGCTCAACTTGCAAATAAAAGCGTCGTTTCGCAAGAAACGTGCCGACTCGATGAAAAACATTGTTTTTAGCCAAACAGCAGGCCTAATTGAGCGCCCGACACCCAGACAACGATCTTTATCCCGAATAGCTTCCGCGAAAGGACAACCCTGCATCGCGAAAGCTCGCGAAAGCGTTTTCCGAAAACTCGGTTCGCGAAAGCCCCGCGAAATGCGAAAGGGCGACTTGCGTGCTCAGACAGCGCTCGGGGTAGGCAGCGCGCGGAAAGGGCAGTTCACCATGCGAATACTGTATGGACATTGCCTCATGAGTGCGCACAGGCTGTTTGCCAGTTGCGAAGTGCGGGGGCATTTGCGCGAAAGCTCCGCGAAAGCACTGCGAAAGCTCCTCGCAAGGCGTGGGTCTAGGATCCAAGGCGTGGCCTCTTTCGCACATGATTCTTATACAGAAAAGTTGCGGTTTTTGAGCTGGAGCTGCCAAAGTGCGTGCTGGTTCTGAAAAGTTGCGATTTTAAAGCTGGAGCTACCAAGTGCACTTCGTGTATCATGCTTGTACTGAAAGGTTGCCCGCTAATTTCAAGCAGCCGCTGCAAAAGCGCCGTGAAAGCATCGTGAAGGGACACTATGAGGGTAACCAAATCTCGATTGGGTTTTGAGCACTGCTCAATGCTACTGTCAGGGATTTGGGTCTTGGAAATGCCGACAAACAACTTGTTCAGTTCGGGGGGGAAGGGAATATAGCAGCAGAGGTCCGGCCCGGGAGGTGCCCTGCGGCCCAAAGTGATCAGTTTCTGCAGGAGGGCGGGGTGTGTATCCTCAGGGCTGCGACAGCTTCTGAGCCTGGGGTTTTCCTTTGGAGTGCCTTCTTTGGCGACACGTATCAAGGTCCAACTCTGTTTCTACATGTTCATTCCCATTCTCTTCGCCATCGTTCCCTTCAGACATCTGGCTGCTCTTCTGAAGCGAAGGATCTCCGAAAGTCCTATGTCAACCTGCTTCAGCAGCTATTGTATAAGCTTCCCTTTTTTCGCGACCTGTGTTTGGACCTCCTTCCTTTTCGAAATCCGCAGGAGGCCCGCCAGTTGCCGGAGCTAAAGGAGGGGAAGGAAGTAGAGCTGTCGGTGGAGACAGTGAGCTTCCTCTGAGTTGAACGGAACCTCTGCGAAACCTCCGATCGCTTGCAAGGGAGAGAAGAACTCATTTAGGATCACCCAAGTCTGCCAAGAAAGGGCCGAAGTTCATGCCCGTATGCTGGGTGCTAAATTGGTGTTTATTTCCGTTTTGGTTTGCCTGCGATATATGAGACCCCCAAGATCGCTTAGCTTTCCGGGCACACACCCCATTCTCAGTCAGTCGGATGTCCGTTGGGCTGAAAGAGGTTGTTGCATATAGATGGGCTTGAGCCCCTTGGTTGTATATGTTGAATGAGTTTCCTACGGCAAGCAAAATGAGCCTCAAATTCTAGCTTAAGCGCTTCCAGGCATCGCTGCTGTTGAGCGGGTTCTGTTGTGGGCTGTGCAGGTCCACTAAAAACGTACACCAAGAAGCGGGTCGTTCCCTTTAGAGCCATGCTACGTCGAGAAAGATCAGTTTCGCAGAGCTGCTCTCTAGGAGTTCGTGTCGGTCTCAAAACATGTACATAGTGCCCTCCCGTCCACCAACATGCATCCTGACTGATCTGTTCTGGAAGACGAGGTTCCCTTTAAAAGGGACCATTTCTCTGGAGAAAGAAAAGGGACGAAGGTGCAGACTGAGACTGATCACGGCCAAATGTTATTTGGTGCGCAAAGCAAGCTGAGAAAGCTGCTGTCCCGCTGCTAACATTGCACCCTGAGGTTGCTTTCAAGAGGAAATCCAGTGTTCGAGTACCCTCCTACAACGGCACAGTTGCGAGGAAAACTTAAGCTGCGTGGTTGCAGCTTACAAATCGATTTCTGATTGTTGCTGTCGCAGCCGCTACAGCCGCAGCCGGTTGTGAATTTCTCATTCCGCCGGGCCTGCGTCCTGGCGCTGGCGGTTTTGTTCAACGCGAAGCGCATCCACGTGGCGGAGAGGCGCTCGATGATCGATCTTGTTTGATACTGTGGGTGCGAAATCAATAAATCGCTCCACGACATGAGTTCTGGTTTAGTCCATTGTACTCGTACATTGGCATTTACAGGGGACTCATGAGAAACCTGGGTTTCTTAAGTGGTGCAGGATTTCGTCCATCCCCCATATGGTGTTACAAGATAGGCAACCCGCCTTTCGGGAGCTCACCATGGCTTGTCCACAGTAGTATGACAATGCATGGACACTTTGTGCTATGACCTGGCGGTGGTCGCCATCACGCGAAGCCGTTCAATTTCAAAAAAGCCTCACCCTCCCCCCCCCCCCCCCCCCGGCAAACCCAAATCAAAGTCGCATTGCATGTTATTTTCACCCCTCCCCCTGCCTATTGTGACCAAAGTAGCAAAAATAATCATTTTGCAGTGGAACAAATCAAAGCAGAACCCTGGTTGAAGTTGCTTGGCTTTGCTTGAGCCCTCAGCTGAATACCTTCCCCCTGGTGAGTGTGCCCCCCCACACAATAAATGTATTTCCTGCTTGGATGTTCGACTTGGGTTATAACCCTATGAATACTGGGTTAGCCCCACTTAAAGGCACTTGTAAGTGGGTTGCAAGCTAGATTCCCAGCAATTTGCTTATTTTGCCAAACACCTAAGTGGAGGCCAAGAAATATTAGCCCACCTGCTAGGGTCGTCCAAATGGACCCCTTTCCCATTTTTGGATGTGTGCGGGTTTTGAATTCGTTCAACCTTGGTTAAACATTGGTTTACTGTAGTGTTGGTCAAGGGTCAACATGATTTATTATTGCTTAGAATTGGCTTAGCATTGCGCAATTATTTTGAATCTAAATAGGGAGACTTGGAGTCTGGGTAAATTATAGCTGTTACTAAGGTGAGTTTATTGGTAGGGGAATGGCTTGCGCTGCAGTGCCAGTGCCGCGCGCACTCTGAACGGGTTGCTAAGCGGATACATTTTGAACCATCGCCTTGTAGACCAGGGTCATGTGGATTTGGATTTGTTTTTTGGGAACCCTGAAAAACTGTGGCTGCATGTTCTTTGTGGCAAACTTGGTAAACCCCTATTTCGACGTCTTTAAAGGGCAAAAGGCTTCCGCCAGCAAAACAAAATATATTGTTTGTGAGTGAAAATGTGTTTTCCTGACTAAGATACAAGTGATGCTGGAAGTGTTGACTGTTTTGAGAAGTGACGCGGGCGTCATTGATTTCCGTGCGTATTTGCTGCTACCGAAAGCGGTACACATCAAAGCTACACACGTTTCTGCCGTTGCCATTCGCTGGACACGTAAGTGTTTGAAGTGTGTACTCCCCTGCAGTGAGCATACTTAGAGGATCCTCTTTTTCCCTTCATTTCCTCGGGAGTCTTGCTCGCGTGCTGTATCCGAAATGCGCAGGGGGCTCGCCGGAAGTTGCTGGAGCTCAATGAGGAAAAGGAAGTGGAGCTGTTATGAGCTGTTGGTGGAGACAGTGAGCTTCCTCTGAGCCCGTGGGGACCTGTTAGCGTTTTTTTTTTCTTTCTCCCCCCTTTTTTTTTCCGGCTTTTCCCGCAGGGCTTTTGATTATTGTCGTGGCTTGTTTATGGCTTGACACTGTAGATGTTCCGCGCATACATGTTTAGCCCACTGGTGAAGTTGAACGCGCAGGTTGCCATGGACACCTGTACTATCCTGTATAGCATTCGTGCCTCGTGCCTTTTCCGGCTTTGTTTTTTTTGTGTGCCGACCCGTGGACCTTTGGATTTAGGCTTGGCCGACCCCACTTTTGCCCCAAAGGGCAGTAGGAAAAACTGTTCCGCGGCCAACTCGCGGAGCCGAAGTTGGCGGATTGGGATTCTCATCTTTTGCAAATCGCAAAACGGATTCGAATCAGTCCAAGCTCAAGGTGCACACCGGGTAGGTAAGGCGCATGCGTCGCCCATTGCCAGCCAAATGGGTTGCCAAACCTGCAGTCTGCAGTTGCAAGCTGCCGACGGCTTGTGCTTTTCGGGTCGCCCACTGTTCCACAAGAACTTGGCTTCAGCAAAAGATGGGGCGCAGGATGAAGGAATGTGGTCTTGCATCGGCAGGCGCTTCGGTCCGAAAAGTGTGTCACTTGTTTGGCGAATTGTTCATGGCACATGCGCTGCCTTTTGGTTGCGTGCGCGTGCTGGGCAGCGGCCGGGCACAGGCACGCCAAAGCCACAAGCGCTTGCGAGGAAGTGCGATTTCCCACGGAACGGGTGCCAGAACGGTCGGGGCTTCTCTATCTGCTGGCGGCGACCGATGACCGCGCCATGAATCCACACAGTGGGCGGTACTTTGAGCATGTGAATGTTCGGCAAAGATGGACCAACTTAGGCGGTTTGGTGTATTGGCAGGATGCACCTGGGGCTCCCTGGAGAAGTATGGATATGCAGTCCAACAGCACCGATATCAACAACAAATTGTGGTGGGCGTCGCAACGGGCATGGTGCTCTCAAGGGGAGCGAGAGTGGTGTCGCGTGGTTTTATGGCACTCTGAGCTGTGGACGCTTGGCAATGCTTTGAACCAGTGCTTGGCTCCCGGACACTTGCGTTTGTTTTGAGGTTCAACATGCAGAATTAGCAGTGAAACAAGTAAGCTGAAAAGGTGAAATGACTTCAAGTGTGACAGCTCCTGGGCTTTGGATGTGAGGAAGGGCCAGCGCTTCTACTTGGAATTCGCCTGCATCCCGGACTTGATGGGCCACGAGCTTTGGTACGAGGGCGGCCCGTCAGACCCAGAGCTGGTGAGCTATGCCTGGTCGCTGATCCAGGCGAAGGGCGGCGGCCTGGAGAAGTTCAACTTGCTGGAGCTTCCCACAGCGCCCACCCAGCTGCCGTGCCCCTGGAAGGCCCGTGCTGCGATTCTTTGGGGCTGGGCTTGGGCCCTCAGAACATTTCCAAGAGACCCTACGCTGAGACAACTGAACTGCCCCCGAGGGCTTCGTGTGCCGTGATTATTGACTTTCCGGCAGGGCACAACGCGTTCCTAAGTGTAGAGCAAGAACAGCAAGGCAGCCAGAACCCCTTCAATGTTCCTTCCCGGCACCCTGGCGAACCCGTGCCCGCGGAACTTTCCTTGGTGCCCTCAGGCATCCTGCTTGATCAAGCGTCGAAACCTTTAGCAAGAGGCAGCATGTCGCTCTGCGCATCGTGCGCGTGGAGGCGGCCAAAAAGAACAGGATGTGCATTTATTCGTGCGGGGTTGTTAATGTCGAAGCAGTAGAAGCACGGAAACGCATGCAGAAGCCGCCTGTTCCTTGTGCTGAGATCTTGCGTTTCAAAGCGACCGAGCCATCCTAGAATGCACCTGTCCTTGGCGTCTGCAGCATTGCGCCTGTTGCAAAGAAATAGAAAGATGTAGCATCCCCGCAAGTGCGGCTCAGTTTTGGTATCATGCCGGCAGCGAACCTTCGAATCGCCGGTCTTGTGCTCAGCTTTGCAGTTCAATGGTGGTGCGCGCATTTTGCCTGCAGCCCCAGATCGATCATCGTAGCCTTTCAGTTAGCCTGTTGCTCGCAAAGTGCACTTCCTGCAGTTCTTGCTCGTGGGTAAAATTGAGTAGAAGAGGAAAATGAAGGTTCTCTATTCAGACTTGAGACAACTTACTTGAGCAGCAGGGACTCGAGACCTTGCGAAAATTACAACACAAAACTGCGAGGAGCTAGCTTGCGAACTTGCGCAGGGAACTTGCAAGGAGAGAGTTTATGAACGAGGTTGTGTAGAATGCTTCCCCCATCTCATTTCTTCTCTCACCAAACCTGCGCCACCTGCGCCTGTCCTTTTGGCGTCTCTTGTTGCAAGCACATTACAACACCATGGACCATGGAAGGCTGCATCGATCTAGCAAGGTTTCTTTGGATTGGGCCAAACATGAGGGCCTGCGACGCCAAAATACGATACACCAGGGATATTCCGACAAAGCTCCCTGCCTCTCAGATCTAATGAACGCCCATTCAAATGTTGAATATGGGGCAGCCCTACGATCCAATTTGAAATTTGCATTCCAGTAAGTTTTGGGTAGAACATAGCTCTTGTTGACAAGGCTTATATATATATATATAGGTCTGTCTCAAAATGGCAACCCCCATTGCTTTCGAGGGGTTGTCATTTTGGTCTCCCTTTACTCCCCCAACAAGCCTGTTTTGAATCAGACCCGTGTCCCTGAATGAATCTAGTGCTCGCGAGGAAGATTCTTGACATCCACAATACCTGAACCATGAGATTGAGCCGCAATCCGTGCAGCTGGAGACAGGCTGGATGAACATTTGCAAGCATCAAGGTGCAGTGCTGGATTTGGTTTGGTTTTGTCTAAGTGTAGCGGTGCCCGGCAGGGGATGAAGCGGGAAGCAGGGGCAGGCCCACAATTCCTGGATTCCCGAAGGAAAGCCCTATTGTTGGGACACACGCCAAGGCAAAGAAGTGGCAGTTGCAGAATCCAGACCAAGCGCAGCCACGGTCTAGGTGTTGCCATTATGTACAAGCAACATTATCAGTACGTGCAGAGTCAATAATACTTCGCCACACCTTTTTCGTGCCACGGATGATCATGATGCGGATGACTACACGGTAGTTGTTGAGCGTGACAGCCGATACAAAAACAACAATAATAACAACAACAACAACAACAACAACAACAACAACAACAACAACAACAACAACAACAACAACAACAACAACACGCCAACAACAATACACCAACAACAATACCAACAACAATACCACCACCACCACCACCACCACCACCACCACCACCACCACCACCACCACCACCACCACCACCATCAACATCAACATCAACATCAACATCAACATCAACATCAACATCAACATCAACATCAACATCAACATCATCAGCAGCAGCAGCAGCAGCAGCAGCAACAGCAACAGCAACAGCAACAGCAACAGCAACAGCAACACCAACACCAACAACACCACCAACAACACCAACAACACCAACAACACCAACAACACCAACAACACCACCACCACCAGCAGCAGCAGCAGCAGCAGCAACAACAACAACAACCTCTACTACTCAAACCAACTTTCAATCAAGGAGGCGATATTTGCATTCGTTTACACTCAATACCGGTAAGAGGAAGTGGCGCTCTTGATGTTGTATCAAAATGCCGCCCCTACCAGGGATAACCCACTTCTAACAAAATCCTCTTCTTGGAAATTACCATCGCAAATAGATGGTGCGCTGCAAACTTATTTCAATCACACAATGCATCTGCTCACCGCACAACATTGAACTATATACAATGTTACGTATGGTTTTTGAGCCTTCTATGACATTACATCACTTGCATGGATGACCTTTTCCAGAGAGAGCCTAGATTCTAGCGATTTCGATGGGTGCACTGCCAAACTCTGCGCACGCCAGGTCAAGGAAGCAGCTGTTGGACGTCAATGCAAAAAGTTGCGTTGGGTGGTCTGATCTTGGCGCGGGTGGGGGAGCATGGAAGGGCTGTCGCTACCGGTGTCACGCCTTTCAACTCATGTTCAGGTACTACAGGCAGTTGTTGAGGAAATCTACAGTCGTCCAGGCGTTAGCCTTGATGGGAGGGCGCATATTCTGCCGCAGGCCTCTTATGGTGGAGTCCAACCCCAAATCTCGAAAGCAGGCTTCCGAATCTACCCACGGCCCTCCAAGAGGAACAAACCAGCGGTACCGCCTCAACCAAGATCTGAGTATTGACAGACACCAAATCCATCACATTGCCTTCCCCATCAAGCTGGCCGGCCTCAATGGGCAAGTCCGAACGGTTCCCGATCAAAGCAGGGCTTTGCGAGCGGCTCTGCGGCGCACATAGCCTTTTCCCACGCATATATGTACGGTTTTTGCAAAATAGGCAAGCCATGACATATTGAACCACATTCACAACAAGGAAGCCACTCCTGCCAGTTAAGCCAATACTACATCAATACTACCGGCTTCTTTTCATTTCAGTGCCTTTGATTCATTTCTTGGATGCTACGATCCATTTTGCAAATAAGGTCAATTAGTCCTAGGTCACTTAAGCCTTTGAAAGGGCACTTACACCCTCAAACTTGCCCGGCCCCTCCCCAGTCTGGGCAAATCAAGCCGCAGCGACACGCGAATGCGAATGACACCCACAGGGGGAAAGAAAGACGATGGGCAAATTGAGCCGCAGCGACACGCGCATGACACTCACGAGGGCGACCGACAACGTAGCGTAAGTGACCTTTTCAAGGGGTATAAGTGACCTCGATTCGCACCCCCACTGACACTCAAATGACACGCTTTGACACTCAAAACGCCATGTTCGGGCCATTCCCATTCCGGGTTGGCCCCAATCAAATGTGGCAGTTATCACTGTTCGACACGGGTAGCTGTTCGATTTCAACGGCATCCCACCCCCTATCAAGCCAAAATGGGCACTTAGCAAACGAATCAAAGGGTCACTTCAAGCACACGGCCTTAAGTGCCCTCGGTTCAAAAACACGTCAAGCGCACTCTATTGAAGGGCATATATGCTGGTAAACTAATAATTACTAAACCAATGCTAAACACTGCGCCAGCATTAAGCCAGGAAACAAGAATACGAACCAATGCTGGCTAAATCACTTAACCAGTGCAAGGTGTGCTAGGTCAAGACTGAACAGAACTGGGCCACTAAACAGGAGTACTAAACCAGTACTAAATCATTTCGAAACCAAGCAAAATCAGAATCAAATGAATACTAAGCCCATACTAAGCAGTATTGGACCAGCAAACCAGGACTTCGCTGTTCCTTGCATGTGTTGCACTGCAGCTTTGTGAGTTTGATATCTTTGGTAGTTGGCATGCTCAGGGTGTGGTGTGAAGTCAGACGATTCGTAGAGGAGATAGGTCGTGCATCTCAACTAGCTTTAAACAAACCTTCCAAGCGCGAATGACCCGCGGCAGGAGTTCTGGCCCAAAGCGTGGTTGTTTGAAAAAGAGGCGGGAAATGCGCTGTGTCTGGCTGGCATGCGTGTGTTGGGCGGTGGCTGGGTACAGGCATACCTTCTATGCCTGTGAGGAAGTGCAGTATCCGACGGAGAAGGCGGTGATACAGTCGCAGTTTGTCTATTTGCTGGCGGCGACCAACGACTCCGCCTTGAATCTCCGCAGCGGGCATTACTTCCATCGTTACAATATCCGGGAGAAGTGGATCGACTCCGGGAAGGGCGGCTTTGAAATGTATTGGCAGGATTTGCCTGGGGGGCCCTGGAGAATCCTTGATTTGCATACGAACAACACCGACGAGGAGGCCACCACGTACTGGCGGCAAGAGCTGGGTCCTTGCAAGGAGAGGGACTGGTGCCGCATGGCAATGTGGCATTCTGAGCTCTGGACACTTGGTGGTGCTTCAGATTCGGGCTAGCTCAACGCAGAACCAACTCAGAAGTCTCTTATCAGCTCTTTCATAAATCTGTTCTCCCTATAGCCGGCAAAGCTCCTGGAGGGAAGTGTCAAGCTGCACCCATCTACGCGTCAATGCATCTGCCAAGTTATCTCTCCGTCCCTTTCGAGCTGGCAATGTGTCAAGCTATCCACATAAAATAAGGTATCATTTTGTCAACTAGCCACAAGTCTGTCAAACTAGCAACCTCAAGCTTGCTGTGCCAAGCTATCTATCTGCCACCAGCTAGCCTTATGTCATGCAAGTATTTTGCTAAGCTAACTCTTTTTCAAGCTACGGTCACCGCCTTGTGTAAGAGTCGGAAGGATTTTTCGGGGCACGCGACTTAAGATTCTCATTGCACCAATTTTGGAACTGAGGCTGGATAGCCTGGGGTTATTTGATTCATTGCAAGTTGCGTATCTCACCGGGCAGCTCGTTGGGTTTGGTCCGTCGAAGTAGGAGGAAAGCTTTGAATTTTCTTGAGCGGCCCTTACTTTTCTGCGTGGGCCCATTGGCCTCTTGGTCCTCTTGAATAGGTCTCTTGTCATTTCTTTGGCAGTGGCAAACTGTTTTGGGGCTTGAAACAAGCTGCCAACGGCTTGAGAAAGAGGCTCTGAAGCTCACAGCATTACACCGCGCAGAAGCAAAAATAAGAACTGGCGGGTCTTTGCTTAAGGTTCCTTGCTGTTCCTATGGTTCAGAGCTTCCTACACAGGAGTTTGAATGTAGCTAGCTGTCGAGCCATCTACTTGTAAGTCATTTCTCTCTGTCAAGCCCATTAAGCCAAATCACTTCAAAGCGATAGGGCTCCTTCCCAGAGCGACACCCCGCCAATTTCATACTGGCCTCGAGCAACGAGTTTTCATCGCAGCTTATATGACTTCATTCAAAGGGAGAAGAGACTAAGGGTCGAGCGAAGTTCATGCACAGGCAACAGTGAAACACTCAAGTGCCAGAAGTGAAGCGCACGGCACTAGTTGTAAAGAAAGCCGCCTTCAGCTTGCGGTTGGGAGTCAGGAAGGGCCACCGCTTCTACTTGAACTTTTTGTGCGTCACAGACATAATGGGCCACGAACTCTTCTACGAGGGCGGCCCGTCAGACCCAGAGCTGGTGAGCTATGCCTGGTCGCTGATCCAGGCAAAGGGCGGCGGCCTGGAGAAGTTCAACTTGGTGCAGGTCCCGACTGGGCCGAGTGAGCCGTGCCCCTGGGGGAAGGCCTGTGCGCGGCGCAAATGTGACAAGCTTTGAAACCTACTTTCTTCTCGCGACTTTTGGGCTCAACAAACATCTTTTCCGACCACAGCACTCCTTTATGGAGAAACTGCGTGACATACGCCTAAGATGGTTGACTTCCCCCCGAACAGGAGGATCTGAAGGAGGGGGCAACATATCATTCAGGGTCCCAGTTTGAGAAAGCAGCACCCCAAGATTGAATTAGCGAAGAACGCCGGCGGCAGGAAACTTCTGATCTTTCCTAGCTCTGATGTTGCAGGGTGTAAACGACGATGTTCAGTGCTTGATTGCTGATCGACATTGTCCATTGAAGTCACCATACTGCTTTGGAGTACTTTTGCGAGGAGGATTCCTGATAGTCCACATCGTCGGGGATTGAGCAGCATCCCTTCAGGTCTGAAATCACTTGCAGTAAGAGGCGTGGCTGAGCTATGCTGCATCAGAGCTGCGCGTTGTCAGAAACCAAGAGAAGGCAGTAGCTCTGGCGCAGGGCAACACTAGCTGGGCTTGGGTTTTGCGTGGCCGCTTTGTAGCAGAATTTACAATGCGCATCTGGCGCTGCGCTTTGTTGGGGGTTTGCCTCACACCGGAAAAAGCATCAACCGCACACATGCTTTAGCTCTAAGTTTGCAACGAAATTGCTGCTCACGGGCAATTTGACACGATAGGCTCACGTAACTACTGACTAAGAAAACGCAGTCAGAATAATTACCTGGTTCGCAGTTGTTCATGTCAATGCAACTCCATGTATGCGCACTTCGTGACCAGCAAGTACGTAGGTTTTGCGCGATATTACTTGCAGCTTCCTTGAGTTAGACAATAGGTATGTTACAAGTTAACATATAAACGCCGTATCTTGGCCCAGCCCTACTGGCGGAGGATGTTTTTCTAGTTTTGCCTCCAGATGTGAATGAAGGTCAAAGAAATATTTGGGAAGGGCAATGGGCGGTTGACTGCAGATGTCCTGTCATTGGCAAGTTGGGTTCTGGGACGGTGATGCGAGAAGCGGATTTCGCAACAATCAACAGGATGGAAGTGCACAGGAACCATTTCCATTTCACATGTTGCTTTCAGGGCCGTGTACTTCCATGTTTGGTGATGGTTCTCCCGGTCCCCTTTGCAGGTGGAGAGACCCGGCGGCGATCTTATTTTTTGACGCAGTGATGGCCTGTCCGGTGTGAACACCTTTAACCAGAATATGTCTTCGGCAGTTTGCGCTGGAGAAGAGAAGACGGGGCATACCGGGACCAATGCGTGAATCTGCCAAAGTGCAGACTTAGACTCACGGCCATGTTTCATTTTGTGCGATAGGTGAGACTTGCCACGGTGCTTAGCGAGATCCGATCGCAACTGTGAAATGCAAGTTGCTTGCGCCAGCTTGGTGTTAAACCACTTCGTGTCGCTTGCTTTCGCAGCCCTGGCTCCGGCCCCGTGGGTTGCGAAATGTGTCTCATTCCATGACGTATGTGGCCCCGCTGGGCCTGCGTCCTGGCTGTGGCGCTTGCGGAGCGCGTCCATTTGGCGGAGCAGGCTTGTAGATAGTGTCCTAACGTTTGAGTTCCTGGTCTTGGGTCACTTTTTGGGAAATCCATTTGGTGGTAAGTAAACAAAAATCAGACTTTCTTGGCCAACCCACTCAGGAAGTGAGGGCAACCTTCGTTGGATTCTTGTTGAATGAAAGCCACTGCAGCTAGTTGGAATCCCCTGGTTTAGGATATGCCCACAGGTATACGTTGCCTGCAGGGTACGGAAGCGGTGCAAGCCCATTTGTACCATAGCAAGCGTCAGGGAAAGCGCGTGATCTTCCAAAAGTATTGGTTACTTGCAACTTAGTGTTCTGCTTTCCAGATTACTAGTTTTCCCACATCCTCCTGACCGCTTTCATATTTCTTAGGAGGAGGGAGCATCAGTCCTTGTATCTCTCATGTTGGGACTGAAGCGTTACCTTCTTGGAGAGGCAGGTAAGTGTCCTTTGGAAAGTCGGTGATGTCTGTAGCTTGGACATGTAAGGAACTATGAGGGGATATTGATATGAGGGATATTATTAGGTGAGTGCGCTCGCAAAGGGGGGAGTTTGCGTTCCAAGCCCTGACAAATGCAGCTCGGGGGTCCTTTTCTCATTTCAGGGCGCTGAATCATTACGGGTCACCCAGAGCAATGTTTGCAAGGTAAAGCGGTGGTTAGATCTCGTAGGCCTCCGAAAATAGTTGTTTTTGTTAGATGAAAGAAGCTACTGTGAGTTGGAGAGAGAAAGTCACTCAGCCTTTTTAAGCAACACGTCTGGACAAATGCCCATTGTATTCCGGATTTTTCCTGGTATTGCCCGGCGTTTGGCTAGGAGTTTGGCTTTGAAGGACCACACCCTACCCCTGTTTTGGTGGATTTACGGGGAAGCCAAAAGGAAAGCCACAGGGGGTCCCCCCCAAAAAAGACAGATCTATTTATGGGGTGGAAGGCACTGAGCTTGCGCAGGTGGGCCTGTTGGAGGAGCATTTGCCGGAGCTCAAATCATGTGAGGATCTTTCAGGGGACTACCAAGTGCCCAAGGAGCGAAGCTTGAGTTCGGATGGAATGGTTTATGATGTCAAGGGTTTGAATAGAAAAAAACAACAACGCCATTTGCAAGAACGCTTCGCGGCAAAAAACAAGTTGAGCTTTTGGTTTTCAGGAGGCCTTTTGGATGCAAAAGCTGCAGTCAGTTTGTTCCAGGCTCCAGGTTCTGGAGCTCTGAAAGCTCTGAAAAAGAAAGGGTTCGATTCGCGAAAA